CTACAACTTTTGGTGGCTCTTGTATCTCTACTGATCATCATCATTCCCCTTCCACCAGAGGGCACTATGCAATCTGTGAATTCTGATTGAACGCAAACCTCTATGTGGCTCTTACTATTATGCCTTGTATTATAACTTGTAAAAAGATTTTAAGCAGATCAGGGCAATAGCTCAGAGGTTTGACCATGTATGGGAGACCTAGGTTTGATCCCTGGCACCACATGGTCCCCGAGCACTGCTGGGGCAACCCTCAAGTAGAACCCTCAGTAGGGTCTCCGCTCTCCTGGATATGCTTCCCATTCAAAAAAGAAAGAAAAGAAAAAGATTATAAGCACTCTTAAGGCAAAAACTGGCATATTTATCTCTTGACCCTCTTTGTCAACCAGACAGCTTTAGATCTAATCAATACTATCCGTGAAAGATAGGCAAGATGTATAAGAAGTTGAGTATGTTATTTATGCTTTAGCTTTATTTCAAATAAGAACACCTAGACATCAAAATCTCCCTTTTCTAAAGGTCAGTTTTGCTTTTTAGAACTAATCATGGTGTAGCAGATGCACTTTTATTTTCAAAACACTGAGGGAAAGAAAGAAAAGTGCGATCAGTTAGTAAATTATATAAAGCCACCTTAGGTGACAATTTCTCTGATATGTTCTGATGAAGGGCCTAGAATTATTACACAGGATGCCATGTTCACCTCCCAATTATAAAGAGAGGAAGTAGTGAGTTTCAGGAACTTTGTAAAATGTGAAGAATTTTATATAAACTGACCTTTAAATCATTTGAAATATTTCTTACAAAACCTGCAAAATCTGGGTCACTACATCTTGGTGGGCAGTGGGTGTTCTCTTGACAACTTCTCTTGAAGCAATGCCATTCAATGTTCTAGAATGGGTCATTAAATCAGTACCATGATCAAAAGCAATGTTTATACCAGGACAAACCCAATTTCAATTGTTTTTAAATTAAATGACTTTAGGTAAGCTGTATATTAGTTTGTAATTATACCTCCTTTATATGCATAGTGTTATTATACTGTTGCATGCTTAAAGGAAATTGATTAAATATTTCTTTTGTGTGTGTGGTTTGATTTTTTGTTGTTGTTGTTATTGTTGTTGACTTTTGCTCAGGAGGTCCAGGAGCCCTGCTCAGAGATTCTCCCAGCCAACTGGGCCTACAGTTCAATGTGATGACTAGGGTATGTAGGAATTACCCACATCATCTCAAGCAGTTCTTGGGGGACCACCATGGCTGCACCCGGAGGTGCTTGGGGACCTTTCAATGCTAGGATCAAACCAGGGCCAGCTGTATGCAAAACATGAAACTTTACTCCTTTACTATCCATCTGGCTCAAACATTTACCTGTTTGGATTTGATGACTGGGAAACTATTTTAATTTGTAGTTTTGAGTAGGAACATGATGCTCTAAGTTATGTTGTCTTTCTGTTTTGAGATATTTGAATTAATATTGTTGTTACTTTGGAGATTTCTGTGTTTTTATAACTTTAGTTCTGATAGAACTCCTATAATATTGTACATTTTTAGCATAGTAAAAATAATAAAGGTAAAGGTAAAGGCCCTCCCGTTGATCATCGATTTGCTCGAGCGGGCCCAATAACGTCTCCATTGGAGACTTTGTTGTTACTGTGTCTGGCATATCGAATACGCCACGGGGAGCTTGCCAGGCTCTTCCGTGCGGACGAGATACTCTCAGTAGCTTGCCGGGCTCTCCGAGAGGGGTGGAGGAATCGAACTCGAGTCGGCCATGTTGGCTGCGTGCAAGGCAAACGCTCTACCGCTGTGTTATCGCTAAATAATAACTCTTAGTATTTATTCAGGGCTTATTAAGAGATAGTCCGTTCTAAATGCTGTGTAGTATTTATTTTTGTCTTTTAGAAACTTTGTGAGACATTTTCCTCTCTTTTCAACAAAGAGGCTTCTAATAGATTGTTCAAGGTCATGCATTGCATAGGTGGCTGAGCCCAGATTGGAACCCTGGAATCGGACTTCAGCATCTGTGCTCCTAATACTGCACCATCTTTCTCAATAAATGTGTACTCACAGTGATGCTAATTAGAACCAAGCTGTGCACATGGCATGTGTGCAGTGCCATCCTGTCTATGTTTTTATTGTATTATGTACCCAGAATGCCATGAGCCCACAGCTGGTGTCAGTTAATGATAATGGTGTGGGGAGTCAAAAAATAATTTCAGGACCATTCAGAGTATAAAGCAACATAAATTTTCATTATAAATTTTGGGACTTAGGGGGATTTGTTATTTGTACACTCAGTTTGTTTCTCTTTTTTCTAAAAATATTTCTTTTTTCTAAAAGTTGGATTTGAAATGTAAGTAATACAATACTGCAGTGTACTTTCTGAATTATTTCTATAGAATTCTTTCACTTTTACTTTTAAATTATTCATCTACATATATCCTCAAAAGAGAAGTAGAGGCAAATTTCAGCTTTTCTTTTTATCACTATCATGATTTTTTTGATGAGAGAGAAACATACTTTGAGAGACTTTTTGCTTTGGGGCCACACTCAGCAATCCTTAGGCTCTGTACTCAGGAGCAACTCATGGCTGGGAATGTAGTGCTGTGAATGAACCAGGATCAGGCAAGCAACTTAACCTCAGGTTCGTGTTCTCTCTCTCTCTCTCTCTCTCTCTCTCTCTCTCTCTCTCTCTCTCTCTCTCTCCCTTTTCCCCCCTCTCTCTTTGAAATTTTTTTCCTAAATATACTTGAATTGCCTTCAAATAGAAGTGCTTTCCAGTTTTTTACAGCTAGCTTTAAGTATATTGTGACTATCCTACAGTGGAATACCATGTAATTGTATTAACATGAATGATCTTGATGCCAATAAATGCATTCTGACTAGGAAAGCTTTCCAGGATGAATAGTAAAGTAAAAAGGGCAAGTCCCAGATCCTTAGTAGTACAGTAGGTGAGGTGTTTGCCTTGCATGTGGCTGACCTGAATTTGATCCCAGAATCACATGTGGCTCCCTAGGCCCTGTCAGAAATGATCTTTGACCCCTGCTGGGTGTGCCTCCCTTCCGCAAATAAGGGCAAGTCCCAGAAATAGGTTTAGTTTTCTCTAAAAACTTTGGCGAAGGAAAACATTGCATTAATGTATATCTAGATTGCATATCTGAATATGTTTAAAACATTGTTTTAATGATAAACATCATTTCTACTATACAACCATTTTAACTCTTGGGAAAAGATTGAGATTGAGGTAAAAATAATGTAGTTTTTTATTTTATTCTTGGGTATTTTTGGTATATTTATTTTGGTTTGGGGACCACACCAAGCAGCATTCAAGGACTACAGCCAGCTCTGTGCTTAGGGATGGCTCCTGGTAATGCTCTGGGAGTCATATAGTGCTGAGGAGTGAATGGAGGCTCCTGCACACCAAGCACATGCTCCAGCCCTTTGAGCTGTCGTCTCCCATCCTGTATTTGTTGTATTTGAAGCTATATGTACATTTATTTTTGTTTTTGTTGGGTTGGATTCCTTTTCCTAAAAAATTACATCCCCTCCCCAATAAAAGTACAAAAATACCTACATGCTAATCTCCCAAAATAAAATGTAAGTTTTTCATATTTGTTTTAAAATTTCGGTTTTGGTTTGGTTTGGAGGCCATACCACAGCACTCCTGACTATGCATTCAGGGATCACTCCTAGCAGACTCTGGGGCTTATATGGGGTGCCAGGGATCTGAACTGGCCACATGCAAGGCAAATCAAGTACTTCACCATGTTGACAAAGATCTGTGTCCATCACTATAGGGCAAAACACTAAGTTGGACACAGCCTGTGGGAAATACTAGAGTGTGCCCACTGACCATCATTGATCCAGGTGGTTCTGCTATCATTAGAAGCATGACATCACAGCGACTCTCCACAGGCTCAGATGACCCTCACCCCAAGGGAACCTGCAGAAAATCCCAGGTATGTGGGACCTGTGACTGAAATCTCCAAGCTCACTCAGAGTGGGAAAATAAAGCTCCTGGAAGAGAGTGACATCGAATGTTCTGACCCCATGCCAGACTGTCTTCACCCGGATAACTTGGAGGGAGGCTGGTTGAGTTTCCCTCCCACCCCCCTTCCCCAACAGAGCCCCGGCAGCCAAAAATCTCAGAAATAAAGCTCCAGAAGAGAGGAACATAGGCCTCACCCGTGCCTGAATCTGCTCTATAAGTATATTCTAAATTAGGGCAATCTTCAACACTTTCCTCTAAGGAAACTATATTGGATCATTTTTCACAGATTATTCATAACAAGCAATACAAAATTAATGGTTTCAGTTCTGCTTTGGGGGAGCACGTTTTTTAGGATTTGGGGTGGAAACATTCAAGATATGGTGCTGGGAAGGTGCAATGGTGGTGGGATTGGTGTTTGAATATTAAATGTAATGCATTATTGTGGACAACTTTATAAAAATAAAATTAAATTTTTAAAAAAAGCATGACAGACCTGACTGGTAAAAAGTAAATAATAAAAAAGTTTTCTATAATAAAATAAAAGTTATTTTAAAAACAAAAACAAAGAGATAAATAATTTTTGAATATTTAAATATTTAAATATTTCTTGACTGAAAAAATGATCTTATTACATTGATGTACTATAAAATCATGGATTCAAAAAAAATTTCCCTGAAAAGTTTTTCTTAAACTCACATGTAAGGCAACAAACCATTTTGGTTGGGGAGTTGGTTATTTTAGCACAGCGGGTAGGGCGTCTGCCTTACAAGCGGCCAACATAGCCGACCCGAGTTCGATTCCTCCGCCCCTCTCGGAGAGCCCGACAAGCTACCGAGAGTATTCGATATGCCAGACACAGTAACAACAAAGTCTCCAATGGAGACGTTACTGGGCCCGCTCGAGCAAATCGACGATCAACGGGAGGGCCTTTACCTTTACCTTTAAAAAAATTTGGGGGAGGTCTCCTTTTCACAGCCTGCGCTGGAGGAACAAGGTCGTCGGGGTGGTCGTCTGCGTGCTGCCGCCATTTCTCCATGTTTTGCAGAACTTCTGATCACGCCATGTGGGCCCAGAGCGTCCGCAGGTTCACAACCTCAGTGGTCTGCAGGAGCCACCATGAGGAGGGCCCGGGGAAGAATTTGCCTTTTTCAGTGCAAAACAAGTGGCAGTTGCTTGCAATGATGACTTTATACTTCGGGTCTGGATTTGCAGCACCATTCTTCATAGTAAGACACCAACTGCTTAAGAAATAAGCACGTCCTTCACACCCTACCGAGGTCATGAGTTGCCCCCCACGAGCGGCTCTAGGGCACGGCCATGGCTCCAGAAGCACAAGGACTTAATGCAGAGCCCGGCAGCTTGCGGCAGAAAAGTGAATGGTCTATGCGTTAATCCACAGCACCATGCCTGCCTGGAGGGAAAAGGGTGTTGCTCCCTTCCGCCTTTTTCCCTTTGGAAAGAAAGATGGCACCCGCTTTGGAGCTTTATGGAAAGGCAGGTATGAGCCGGTCATGATGAGGTGACTGAAACCTCATGGGAAGGGGGGACGTTCCCGGCTCGTCCTTCACGCCCTACCGAGGTCACAAGTTGCCCCCCATGAGTGGTTCACCGGCACTGCCATTGCCCCAGAGCACAGAAACCAATCTCATAATTATCTGACTCTCAGCAGAAATACTTTCAGGCTTAATAAGTAAAATGCCAGAAATCCAAAATCGAACGACCGCTATTGCGACCGCGCGACATCATTTGATTCTTGTAACTAGCTATAGAAAACAAATTACTTCACAATGCCTTTTCAGCATGTCTGATTTGGGGGTGTAAACTCTAAAAAATAACGGTGCATCTTTTGTTGAAACAATGAATCTAATCAAAGTAGATAGAGTGTTAACTAGAATTCATCTGCCTCACAGCATTGGGAGGGTTGGGGGGGTGTTTATTGGGGTTCTTGGTGGTGAAAAATAAGTATTGGTGAAGGGAAATGTGTTTGATAATTGCATGACCGAGGCTTAAACCTGAAAGCTTTGTAACTTTTCCCACAGTGATTCAATAAATAAAAAATAAAAAATAAATGAAAAAAAAAAGCACGTGCTGATTCCTCTGTGAATCAGACAATGAAGTGGAACATTATAAGAAGTGCAATCTTGCCTCCAAGAAAATTGAGCACGGGATGCTAGATATATTTGTAAATAAACTTATGGCATGAATATTAATGCCTCTTCTCTGGAAAAAAAATTTGGGGAGGCGGGTATGGTGCTGTCAGCAGATCAATCTGTACCTGTGAGGCGAGTGCATAAGCAGCCTGATGGCACTTTCAGACTTCCAGATACCCCAAAATTGCTGCTGTGCCTTTGGCCAGATCCCAAAAACTTGGGCAAAGTGTACCAGGAAAGTAAATGACCAAAAGTTAGGTATGTGGGAGACACACCCATAAACCACCATGGGCTCAGCTATATAATTTTGGCATGGCCTCTCTGGCTCCTGATCAAACGGCCATGATCCCAGAGACTCAGAAACAAATCTCAAAACCCAGTGACTTTTGGGACCCCGCAGTAGGTTACTGTTGCTGGGCCACACCAGGTGTCCCTCCGCCTGCTCGGCCTTGGCGGCTCGGTGGCTGCCATCTTCCAGAGGCCATTGGACAGTCAGGTTTGGACCCGCAATGACGAGACACGCAGAACCTCACTGAATGTGGGTGGAGCCGGCCCTTTCCTCCCCATCCCAACGAGACCCTGAGTTGCCGTCCAAGAACGGTCTCTCCGACTCCTTATCAAGCAGCTTAATGGCCATGATCCCAGAGTCTCAGAAACAAATCTTGAAACCCAACGGCTTTTGGTAGAAATGTGACTGGTCCCTGCAGTGAGTTATTGGTGCTGGGCCAACCCAGGTGGGAATAGGTTTCGCCTTGGCCTGTTCCCCCTGGTGGCCCAGCGGCCACCATCCTTCAGAAGCCACAAGACAATCAGGTTTGGGCCCACAGTGACGAGACACATGGGGCCTCATGGGATGGGGGTGAAGCCAGCCCTTTCCTCCCATTCCCAACGAGATCCCGAGTCGCCGCCCACTAACGGCCTCACTGGCTCCTGATCAAGCTGCTTAATGGCCATGATCCCAGAGACTCAGGGGTTTCTGCCAGCAGGTTTTGGCAGAAATCCCTCCAGATTTAAGTTAAAATTATGGAATTTCAAAATAGCACGGCCACTACTGCAGCCACACGACATCATATGTTATTCATAACCAGCAATAGAAAACAAATTGTCTACTGTTGCCTTTTCAGCAAATCTGAATGTTGGGGTAAAATCCCAAATAATAATGGTGGGTCTGGTGTCAAAATATTGAATGTAATCAAAGTAGAGAGAGAGTAATGTGGAAATCATCTGCCCTACAGGTAGGGGGAGGGTGTGGGATTGGGGTACACTGGGGTATTTGGGGGTGGAGCATGGGCACTGGTGAAGGGATGGGTGTTTCATTGTATGACCGAGACTTAAACCCGAAAGTTTTGTAACTGCTGTCATAGTGATTCAATAAATAAAATTATAAAAAATGGGAAAAAAAAGTAAGGTCGAGTTCATGCCCAATTCAATCAGCTAATCAGTGGCTGAATAAATAGCAGTACTCCTACATAAAATTTTTTTAAAAAATTTTAATTAAAGTACTATGATATATAATACTGCTAATGATAGAGTTGCATACTTACAATATACGATTACCACACCCACCACACCCTCCACCAGAGGGTCAGTTTGTCTCCAATATTGTCTCAGGGTCTCTTGTTCACCCACACTCTGCCCCCCCTCCCAATTTGGTAAGCTTAGTTCTATAGACCAGATCTCATGTTCTTTTGCCTTTGACCATTTGATATTCCCTTACTAGGTTTCTTTATATCTCACAGAAAAGAGAGATGATTCTATATCAGTTCATCTCTTACTAACTTTACTCAGCATGACATCCTTTAGATTCTTACATTTAGCAGCACATTGCATGATTTTATTCTTTTCTTTTTGTAGCCGAGTAGTAGTCCATTGTGTATATACACCATAGTTTATCCAGTCATCTGTTCTTAGACACTTGGATTATTTCCAGATTTTTGCTACAAAGAGATTGGATATACTATGTAATATACAATACATAATATATTGTATACAATATATAGATGATACTGATATTTTGGTGATAATGCTACAATGAACATAGGAACACAAATGTCTCTTTGAAAAAGTCTTGACCCTTGGGGTAGATGCCAACAATGGAATTGCTAGATTGTATGAAAGCTCAGCAAAAATAATTTTTTAACTTTATATTGATTATCAATATCAAGATGCCGCTCTGTCTAACGTTCATTGATTTAAAGAAGGCCTTTGATTCTGTTGAGACGGAAGCAGGCATCGAAGCCCTAGCCTATCAGGGTGTTCAAACTCAATACATCAGGATTCTTCGTGAGCTGTGTTATAGATTCACTACCAGGATCTCACCATTCTACAAAGAAGTAATCATCCATGTCAAGAGAGGGGTTCGGCAGGGTGAAACCATTTCACCAAAACTCTTCAGTGCCACCCTTGAGAACATCATGAGACGACTGGAATGGGAAGGAACGGGAGTGAAGATAGATGGTCGGCAACTATACCACCTCCGCTTTGCTGATGACATGGTTCTAATAACACCAAACATCAGCCAAGCGGCACAAATGCTGGCCAACTTCGACCTTGAGTGTGGAAAGGTCGGATTACAACTGAATCTCACAAAGACAATGTTCATGAGAAACAGTCTTGTTCCTGATGTTCACTTTCAACGGAACGACCATCTCCGAATGCAACAGTTATGTGTACCTACGTCAAGAAGTCAACATGACAAATGACCTGGCACCTGAGTTATGCAGGAGGAAGAGAGCAGCTTGGAATGCCTTCAAGAGCATTGAAGAAATAACTAAGAGGAAAAAGAACCTCCAGCTCTGAGCACATCTCTTCGATTCCATTATTCTTCCTGCATTAACATATGCCTCAAAGACCTGGGCCCTATGCAAACAGGATGAGAATGCTATTCGGGTCTCTCAAAGAGAAATCGAAAGAGCTATGCTTGAAGAATCACGCTTCACTCAAATGAGAGATAGAATCTGGGGTTCCGATCTCCATCAATGCTCAAGAATCAGGAACGCTGTCTCATTTGCCAAGGCATCAAAAATCAGATGGGCTGGACACGTAATGAGGTTTAGAGATGACCACTGGACTAGAGCCATTACTGACTGGATTCCACAGGACGTCAAAATGTCGCGTGGACGCCCACCTATGAGATGGTCAGACTTCTTCGTCAAGACCCTGAATGATCGATTTGAGGCTCTTCATGTTCCTAGAACAAGCAGATGCCATTGGGCTACGCTAGCACGCAACAGGGATGAATGGAGACGTTACTGGTGCCCACTCAAGCAAATCGATGAGTAACGGGGTATCAAGTGATCAAGTGATATTTATTATCAGGACATTCAGAAATAATAAAAATAACTTCTTGGCATATTCCTGCTTCCTTAATTGTTTCTATATTGTAGTGTCACTGACATTCTGAAAACTATCTCAAAATAATCTATTTTATTATAAGATTGCTCATATTTTCACAGCTGCATTTTATAGCTAATAAATAGTTTGACACTGAATTTTCTGTATAAACCACAGTATTATTACTAATTAAAAAGAAATGCTTTATCTTAAAGCAGTGGTACTTGATACAACTAAAAACATTCTATGAAATGGAGAATATTTTCAACTCTTTGTTAACATTTAAGTAAACAATAGATTTGTGTCAATAAATGTGACAAAATAGATGAAAAGACAAATTTCTTAAAAGCTACAAGTAAAATTTAGAAAGGAGTAAATAACTTAAAAAAATTTTTTACTGATGGCAAAAACCTTGGAAATAAAACAAAAATTCCAGTCCCAAATAGATGTCCTGATTTTACAGTTCTTTAAAAACTTTTCCCAGATGAATTTTTAAAAAAGAAACTTGCAAACTAATGCTAAAAATCATTTGGAAGTGCAAAGAATCTAAAATAACTAATGTAGTTGTGGGGAGAAAAGGGACAAAGTTGGAGGTCTTATGCTACTTGATTTAAGACTTAGTATAAAACTACATGTAATATCTTTGAGGCTTATAGATAAATCACATTAGTTTCACAGAATAGAGAATCTAGAAGTGAAACTACAAACACGCAATCATTTTTTTCTCAAACTCCCCAGTATTTAGTCGTTTTGGTTGCAGTGCTGAGTAT